ACAAGCAGGAGGGCGGGGACGATTGGGAAACAAGAGGGGGATCCAGCAGAGGAAACAGCGGCAGCAGGAACCGCCTTGAAGAAGAGACGAAGGAGGCGAAGGAGGAGGAGGGAGATGAGGAGGAAGACGAGAAGGAGGAGTAGGAGGGGAGGGGAAGGGGAGAGGAGGATGCGGAAGAAGCAGGGACATGAGGAAAAGGAGGAGAGGCCGGAGGAAAAGTCGAAACAAGGTAAAGGCACTTCGGGGTTGCATTCGGTCCGAACCACAACGCCGCTGGGCGGACGACCTCCTGTACGCCAGCGGGTGGGTTATATATGCAGGGCCGACGGGCCTGTCACCCGCGGCCTGCCTGGGGCGCCCCCTGGCCCTGGGGTGAGAGGGCGGGGGTGGGCCGCGCAGGGGGCTTACAGTCGGGGCCTTGACCTAAGGAACCCAAAATAAGGAACGAGGCCCGTTTTTTTCCACAAGTTAAGCTTCGATTTCCGATCGAAAACATAAGGAAAACCTCAGGCAAGCTGCGAAACACATACGGAACGCGGAGCCCCTCCCCAACGAGGAGGGTTCCTTCTTCAGGGCCCCGACTGTACCACAAAATGGAAACGGCAGTGCGGGAGACGGAGACGGGGGCGTCGCTGGCTCCGAGCACCTTACCCTGGGAACGGGGGCAGGCAACTCGCCCTCCCACCCCCTCCCCCCCAATTCGCGGAGCGGGCGTCCTCGCGTTTCGATGGGCCGCTCGCCGAGTGCAGGCGGGCGGCGGTGGGGGGGTGGCGCACTCCTCGTACCTCGACCACCCCACACCCCTCCCCTAGGCCACCGACCACCCCCCTCAACGGCCACAGGGCAAAGGGGGAAAGCACCGCAAGCAAGGGGCAGGAAGGGGGGAAACCGACGGGACGAAAACCAGGAGAAAGGGGGAGGGAGGCCCGTTGGGTAGTTCCCCTGCGTCAATGGACTGAAGGGTGGCGATCCCGTCTTTGGTTAGACGCCTGCTGAACTGTTTGGCGAGACGAACGAATTTCTCTACCATCTGCGCTTTGCACAGGCGGCAAAACCGAAGGCCTCGGTGGTTCTCGACTCTGCGTGAAGCATCAATATGGAAGGACCGCCCAGGACAAAATGAAGTCGAGAGCTCCTCAAAAAATCGTTTCCCAACTTGGTCCAGGCAAACCGCGCACTTCCATCCCCTGGAGTGCTGAAAAAAGCCGATGCTGAGACCCCCATCAGAAGCTGGGGCTCTTGCTGAGACTTAGATCCAGCCTTTACAAAAGCTCTGGCGTGGACAGGTCCTTTCAGAGTTGCCCCGTAAATTTCTCCGGCTATCCTAGCTACCTCCAGGGGCGCAGAAATCAAGCGCTCTTGGATTCTCCAGGCCAACTTGTCGGCCTCGCGAACCGGGCCCACCAAACTGCGCGGGGGCGCGGCTTCCTGGGCAGCTTGGTTGGCCAAAACGCCAGCCTGGTCATTCGCAACCCAGTGCTCCAGAGGAAGCCCAAGGCCCGCGGCAGAAAGGTCTTGATGGCGTTTGACCGCGACAAGCGTGAGAGTGCCCTGGCGAGCGGAAACAGCCTGCCAATACTGGGCCCGCAGATCTGCATTACTTCTATACTTCCAGCCTGGCCATCGACTGGCTCCTTTACAAGCATATGAAGCATCTACAGCATATATTGTTGACACAAGTGCTCGGATTCATGCCATCAGATCGGCCCGGGGCACTGCCTGTCTCCAGCCTGACACAGTTCCACGCCAGGAGGCCAAGACAGTTTCTCCGCGGCAAACGGCGAAGGACAGCCCAACGCGGCGCAAACGAGGATCTTCAGACTGCTCCCCCCCGAGCCGCCACCGCCAATAATACTACATGCTGTCGACATGGATCTCTGCCCTTCCCCAGGCCACCCCCCCTCCTTCACCGGGCTCTCTTCAAGCAGGGAAGTGTCCGCAGTGGGCGTCGTCCAAAGAATGGGGACTAGACCTCTGAGCCAAGAACATCGGTAGGTCCCTGCGCCTACCGCAGTTTGCTCACAAAGCTGTGCGTCTTCTTCTAGATCGGAAATGTCTCCACTGCAGGGGCATTCCCAAAGCTGATGATATAGGGTCTCGTTTGGTGCTCCGCACCTCGGACAAGCCGCGGCGCCTATCTGCGCGTTGTCAAACCTGCGCTGATTGGGCCACGACGCCCCCTGACTTATCGCCTCAAGGATCGCAGCTTTTTGGTTGAAACCTTCGTTTCTCTAAAACCTTAAGATGGGCCCAAGTCGCAGTAAGTCCACGCCGCGCTCCGCCCCCGAGCCAAGGAAGTGATTGCTGGCTCCAGAGAAGAACCGACTTCAAAGTCGAGCCTATCAAAGCCCCCCGGCGCCCTCAAAGGTGAACTTTCCCCCGCGCGGAATGGCCCGTTCTCCTGGAGCGTCGGGAATCCAATTCACGTCGAAAACAATGGCCTGCGCAGCCGCCGTGTGACCTCTGACCTGCAGCCAGCGGCGTTTGGCGCCGCGCAGCTTGGTCAAGGACTCCTGCCAGGCCCTGTCGACGGCGCCGCGCCAGTCGGGGATCCTTGGGAGGTGCTACTGCCAGGCCTGCAAGATTTCAAGAAGTCAAAGAAAGAGGTCCACTACGCTTTCCAATGCAGACCCTAATGGTCGCGGTTGCACAACCTCTAGCGCACTCACTTCCACGCATCGAGGACACCTGGGCCCTGAGCTGTCTCAGACTGGTCGGCGCGAGGCCCGTGGCAGCGACTCCCTGGGGCACCTGCGACCCATGGCCAATGTTGGCCAACTTTTTGGCCACCTTCACGCTTTTGCCCAGGGTCCGAATGGCTGGCGGTGGCTCATCTGGCTCCATTCGTACTTCCAGCTTTTATGGTACCTGGAATCCCGCCAGCAGTAGCAACGTCAACTCCGAGGTCTCGAGCTGACAGCTCCACTTAGATCGGTGAGCCAAGCTCTTTGACTCTCTTCCTCTGCGCCGCTCGCGCACTTGGTGAACTGGCTAGGCCGACAAACTTTTTGGACATGCGAAGACCTCTGCTGTGCATGAAGGTGACGAGCTCCAAGGCAATTTCGGCAGCCTGACCCCCAACTCCTTCTGCCGCGCCAAGGTTTAGTTGAGCGGGGTCGTCGACCCAACTGCCCATGGAATTTCGAAGTGGCGGATGAGAGCGATGATAATTGTCTAACATGTCCCATGCATATATTCTAAACCAGGCTATTTGCATGCATCCCGCGACGACTGAATGCGCGACCTGCGCGCTGTCGGATAAAAGAGAGCCTGCCGCCATCCAGCGGTCCACCATGTCCTGCAGCATGGCAATATAAAACTTCACCAGAGGGTACTCGAGAACGATGGCGAAGCCTGATAGCACGCCCCCCCGAGTAAAATCGCGCAGCGTTCAAGCGAAACTGCACGCAACTGAGATTAAGAATGACACATGCTTCTGCTTTTAATTGCCGTAAAACTGCTGCCCGGCGAGGGCTGCAACCCGTCGCCGCTGCGCCCCGAAAACTTGCCTTGCTCTGCTCCCACGTCTGTGCTACTTGCTCGCGCATAATACTCCAGAGTCGATGGGGCCCCGGGGTTGACGAAATGGGCCGATCCCCCCCTGGCGGGGGGATCGGTGCGAGGGGGGGCGATGTCGGCGAGGGTTTGTGCTGGCCCACTTAGCTGGGCCTCCACTTCGCCGGGGAAATCGAGCAGCTGCTCACGCCCATGCCATGGTAGAGAGGGCCGCCGCCTAGGATTCCACGGGTCAGCTCCTAGGCCGGCGCGCCCATTCAACTATCGCATTCTCTACTGGAAGCCTGCAACTGCGCGCTCAGGAAGAGGTCGCTCTTCCCGCTGCACTCGCGCGGCGTCTCGTGGACGACGGGGCCAAGAAAGGGGGGCGGTTTAGGTCCCCCTCGTGTTCCTCGCCATAGTTGAGACCGCCGCCTGTCCGCCTTGACCTCCATTATCTTCAGTGGTTCGGCAACATTCTGCCCTCCTGCGCCATTCTCGATGGCAACTCGGCCCCCCCGCCATGTCCTGGAACACCGATGCGCGCAGCTGGCGCCCGAAAGTTAACAGTTGCTGAGAAACTTCCGAAAACCCGGACTCTTCTCCTTCGTGGCTCCCATGGAGACCTTCGCCAAGACGTCCTTGGCTGCGTTCAAAATATCGCGGGGCCCCCCTTGATCGAAGGGGGCGATGAAAAGGCCGCGAGAATCTTGCCGCCTGCGATCCTAGCTGAGTCGGGAACAGCTGCGCTGCATTGGGCATGAGGTTTACCTCCGTTCGATGCGCGATGCGCGCGTGCTGCACTGCAGGCGCTTTCGTCAAGCAAAATGTACAACTCCTGAAACCTTGATCGAATACCTCCCCAGAAACACACTTCCTTCGGCGTCCAAAATGTCCAGGCGGTCTTGCAGCGATCCGGCTCTGCACTTTACGTCTGAACATATGCCTCCTCTGTGGGACCCTATATCTCGCCCTGCTCGATTTAGCAGAACTGCCTCAGCCTGCGCGGAGAAGCTCGCGTGCATGCTGCGGGGTTGGTCGATGACGCTTCAGCCCAGATATGGCAATGTCGCGGCGCCTCGACAGCACGCGCCATTTGGCGACGAGACTCCCACGGCGCATCTGGCCCGAAAGCACGCGGAAAAAGCGGGGCGACGGGTGCCCAGACACGGCCTTCCAGGATATTCTGAATCCAAGCCGCCATATACTCCTACGCGCGGCGCCCAAGGTCCCCGCTGGCCCAGCGAAAACGCCACCACGCCACCACAGAGACCACGTGTTCCGAAACAAATCCATAGTCCAAAATCCCCCCAACACCTCCAGAGTTGGCAAACCCACACGACTGTATTTTCAAACCCCCACGAACATAAGGTGGCCACCCGGACTCCCCGAGATCCGGAAGGGAC